ATTCCAGGACAAACAGAAGCTAAGGTATTTTTCCAAAGCCAGCCCTGCTATGAAAAGCATCCTAAAGGAAGTTCTGTGGACTGAGAATCAACAAGAACTGAAAACAACCAGAGAATCACATACATGGAAGCATCACCCTGAACTCAAACAAATGGAAGAGTCAAGAACAGAATAAAATTATAAGAACAGAGGATCTAGGAGATCAGTCTATGATCAAAACAATTACAATGTGAAAGAAGGTAAACACAGAGGATCAGAGATCCAGGTAGTAGGAAGGTCAGGTAGATTAAAGGACAAAATAGACTGTCTTAAATGGAGGGAAGAGTTAATGGAATATAAGGTCATCGATAGACTCAAGCACGGCAGCAATAGTGAGTTTGGCCCAGGATAAGACAGTGTTTCATTCTGCTGTGCATATGGTTGCTATGAGTCAGTACCAACTCGATGGCATCTAACAACAACAACAACCAAGTAACCACACAGTGGGGTTGGGGTGGGGGATTTAGTTCAGGTGTTGGGGAGGGCAATACAAGAAGGGGAGGACATGGAAGAACAAGATAGACAGGGGAACACTGAGACAGGTTGCCTGGCCTAAGTGGTAAAGAGGTAAATGGTGATGCATGCTCAACCTTGGAACAACAGGGCTCTGGGATACAGCAAATGAGGCATAGCTTAAAGAGGGGTAATAATACTAAAATGCTTGACTGTCTTATGAATATTGGTTTTCCTTGCCTACTACTATAAAATAGACAATTGAGTGGGATAGAAATAAATGTTGGGAAACTTGATTACAGAAAACTTGTAAGCCCAACTTCAGCCTATAAGTGATTGGAATACCTAAAAGTGGTTCTAGAACTTGCCCAGTGAAATCGGCTTCTTGCAAAGCCTTTACAGAGTATAGGACCTTAGGTGGAATTCTGAGTCCCATCCAGAACCTTATGAGGTGGGACACTCCCAGTAGCAAGGACAAGCAGACCAGCCTGGATCAGCTAGAGTGATGGTAGATATAACTTCAAAGAAAGATCTTCAGGAAAAACCCAAAACAAATAATGTCAGCATGACTGGCTACTACAAGAATAAGCAAGCTGTTCGCCAGGAAGCCACCAAGACAAGCAACTAAGTTCCTTCAGGACAAACTCCCCTCTAAGACTGAAACTCAAAGGGAACACACAAATAGGCATGTAAGCCTCCTGGCGACCACATTAGTCTACTGGTGAGTGGAAGAGGGGGAAAGGCAGCAATGAAGAAATGGGCTGAGTTCAACCACAGTGCATTGACTGCCGTTGACCTGGAGATGACAGAGAGAAGAGGAAGGGCTGGTTGGTCCAAAGCATGGTGAGACCTGAGGACACTTGAGCCCATGGACAAGGACTTAGCCACAGAGAGCTAGGGCTGAGAGTGAACCCTTCAGCTGATATGAAGTGAGGGGAGATGCACAAGAACACCCAAACTTGCAGACAAGGCTCATTTGATCTAGCCTCGATGACTTGATAATCAGAACTCAACTAGAGGAAGATTACCAAAAAAAAAAAATTTTTTTTTTTGACAAAGCAAACAAGGGTAAATTGCTACAATTTGATTAACATGACCTATACTCATGGAGGTAGTAACTCTAAACACCAACAGAGAGGGAAGGAGTCTTCACATCAAGTATCAATGTTATCCCCTCTGTACACAAGGTAGATAGGGACGGGCAACTGAGACATTGTCTACCTAAAATGAGGGGTGATAATGGCACAAAGTGACTGGTTTCAAGAGGGAGTTTAGTTTAAGAGTATGTGAGGTGAAGAAAGAGTTGCCACTGAACAGTTTTCATCTTGTATAGATGGGTCTGGTGAAAAGAGATGGGGATAAGATTCGTATGATTCTGTAGTGAGTAACTGTTATCATGACTAATTGTAACTGTCACAATCGTAAAGGCAGAAGTTTTTAAACAAAAACGGGGGAGTGGTTAATCTTGCAGTCCAGAAACAGAGGACCGTAGGACCATCAAGGGAGAAGAGCACAAACAGAATGCAGGATCTTATCCAGAGAAGCAGCAACGTCAAGAGACAGTCAGAGATGGGGTCATAGAGAGGGGGAGCAGCTGAGGACTCTGGATTCATGGGAAGAGTCATCGAGCTGATTCTGACTCATACTGACCCTATATAGGGTTTCCGAGAGATTGTAAACCTTTATGGGAGCAGAAAGCCTCATGACAGGTTGGAAGTACTAACCACACAGTTGGCAGCCCAATGCCTAACCCACTGTGACATCAGAGCTCCTTATATAAGGCATATTGTTGTCGTTAAGTGCCTTCAAATCTAGCTCATAGTCATCCTGTATAGCTTCCAGGAAGCTATTGGGTTTGAGCGGTTGACGTTATGGTTAGCAGTCCAATGTTCATCCTACAGTGCCACACCACAGAGCTCCTATATAAAGCATAGGATTTATCATTAAAAACATGACCTGGTGGAACAGTGGTTAAAGCATTTAGCTGTTGTCAAAAGTTCAACTGTTCGAAAACACCAGCCATTCCATGGAAGATGGACAGTAAAACTCCAGTCTTGGAAACCATATATCACAGATCTACTATCCTATACGGTCACTATTAGTCGGAATTGACAGCAGTGAGTATTTTTGGGTTTTTAATTATATAATTTCTCCTTACAAACTACTACTTATGTACTATTTTAGTTACAGTGTATACAAAGCCTTATTTCATTTGATTCATACCACACAACTGGTAAGTAGTACTAAATACAGTGGCAGGACATTCCTCGAATTAATAACATAACTGGAATTCAGAGCCAGGTTCCAAGTCTAAAATTTACCATTTTACTAATTAAGAGACTGAGGTGTGAAGAAGACAAGTGATTTGTCTATAGATATAATGCTAATGATGAAAAGTTAATTTTGTAGTGAAGAAAACCCCACTGAGTTAATAAATGGTGTTTTCAGGATTACTGCCAGAAGAGTGAAATGGAAGCATTCTAGATATCTTGAGGATTGCAATAATGCCTCGTAAGTTTCTCTTTCAGGGTATTTACTTTATGACACTTGGAGGACAACATAACATTTCTGTTAACACACTGAATGCAGCTATTAATTTGATAAGTATTTTTATTATTTGATTTATATATAAAAATTTGTAAAGTTTTGCTGGATTCTAAGTATGACTTAGATATAATCTGAACCTCAGTAAGAATCACATTTGATTTTAAAATGGAAGCCATTAGGAAAAACTGATATTTAGTAGGGGATTTCTGTATGCTAAATGTTGCAAGAATTATTTCTATACTTGTATATAAATAATGAGACTGATAAAGGAAAAAAATAAATATGAGGCTTCCCCCTAATAAAAAAAAAAAAAGGTAATTTTACTGTCCTTACTGAATGGACATTGTATTTCAAATTTATAAATGTTATGAAAAGATATAATGAATGACAACTCCTCCAAATTGGTCCAAAAGGCCGATTTTGGAAGTGGGACAATCAGAACACAAAGAGAATGTGGACACATTGTGGAAACTGTAACTCAAGTCACTGAGCAATTTGTGTAGAAATTGTCAAATGGGAACCTAACTTGATGCTGTGCAAACTTTCAACAAAAAGACAGTATTATTTTAAAAAATAAAATTGTTCCAAAAGATATTCTCACTATTCCCTGGACTGTACTTTTTAAGTCAGAAGCATGTGATCCAGATTTTTCACTAGCATCACATGACTGATAACTGTAGTGACAGGAAGAAAACTATCTAGCATCCAAAGAGTGACCTGAGTAGAAAAATTTCCCTCCTATAATTAAAAACAAAAACAGTCACTGGGTTTCTTTAGAGGAGAATTCTCCTAAAAAGTAATGCTTGAGTGTACGATACAAGTTGCAATCACTGTTTCTATGTTGTTCAAAACCAAAACAAGTAGACATTAACTACTGGAATAGGGTTGGTAATGCGCTGCAGGATAAGCACTGGACTGCTATTTGAAAGGTCAGCGGTTTAAACCCACCAACTACCCCTTGGAAACCCTATATAGAGACACTATGAGTCAGAACAGACTTGATGGCCCTTAATAATAACATCCCTTTAAATTATCCATGACCTAGTGCTCAGGTCAATTCGACTGTCAACTACATCGAGTACTGCAATTTTAACCAATTTCAGAGTGGTTCTATGCTTATAAATCCCCTTCTGAATGTATATCATTTTCTTAAAAGAATCTGGGGAGAGTTTTGAAAAATAGTTCAGGATTCAAAAAGGTAAGGTGCTTAAAATGTAAGTTTAAATATCCCATCCATATAAACTAAGGACTTAATTGGCTTTTGTTGCTGCTTGGCCTAACAGTTCAGAAATAGCACTTTTGAGTGCCAAAATCAAATTCCAAGAAGTCTCCTAGGAAGATTTCTACAAATTTTTAAATGTCAGAATGGAACAATTTAAGAATATATTATGATACACATTTTTCAACAATGCAAGTTCTATTCCTGGATTTATACAAGTCTGTGTCAATTTTATTTCCCTGCGTTTTAAAGGATACATTTAAATGGAAACAGAATAGCATTCAAAGATGTAAGTGTGCCTATTTCATAAATTCATTGTTGGAGTTTTTTTTCACTGAATTTTATTTGTGAAAAATGAGAAGCCACTATGGTCATTGCTAATAATTGAAAGGGGAGTGAGACCATGAGAGAAGGCTTTAATAGTCTAACTTGGTCTGTAATGCAAAGGATATTTTTAATAGAACTTCGGGGATGGTAGGGTGTCACAACAGTCTAGGTCAGGAGTGAGCTTTATCAAAATTTAGATTCATGGGTCTTCCTCTGGAGATTCTGATTTAGAGTAAATCCTTGTAATCCTAAGTGAAGAGCTAAAAATGGATGTCCAGTAGTAGATTAGTTTCAGAAGAATGGTATCCTTGATGCTAATACCATTAGAAGAATATCAGAAACTTATAACAAAGAGTACTATAAAATTTTAAAAGCTGATGCCGTATTTTACCACTAATGAACACTGCTGACTCACCTGGATCAGGGTCACATTTTAGGTCCAATGGATGTACAACAGGGTGATACTGCTTCTAAACATAATATAAATGAAAACAGATGACAATTAACAATGTGATCACTTAAAGACTTTTATAAACATTTCCATTAGCAATGTAAGCAAATAATACTATACAAAGGTAAGTCAAAATGTACTGCTACAAAATCAAAGAAACTATTAAACAAAAGTATCAAAATGTGAAGTTACCATTTCTTGAAATATCCTCCAACTAGATCTATAAACTTCTGAAGGCATAATTCCCATCTCTCTACAACTCCCTGAAAAATTCTGTGCTCTTTGATTTACACCATGTCAAAATGGCAGTTGTGGCAGCCTTGAAGGACTCAAACTGAGTTTTGGGAACAACGAACAAAAAGTCTGAAGGGGCAAGATCAGGGCTGCAGGGTGGATGAGGTAAAATTTTCAAATAAAATGCTCATACGACAGTCCTTGCTACCTTGGAAGAATAAACAGGTGCATTGTCTTGGTGGAAAAAATTTCCTCAACACAATTTTCCTGACCTTTCTCCACCAATGCACTTTTCTATTTTCTAAAATCATCTTAAATAACTCCTGTAATCACCCTGTGTCTGTCCTTCAAGAAAGTCCCTTTGACATCCCCGAAAATAGTCACCATAACCTTTAAGCTGGCCTGCCTGAATTGAATTGAAGTGGCCCTGCAGATCCCCTTGGAAGCTACTGTTTTGACATAAGCTTTCTTTTTTTTTTTTTTTGAAAGCAGCCTAATGAGACTAAGACAAGTATATCACTGAGACAACTAGTCTGCAGCCATCCACTGGCTGCAGAGTCATATTCAGACATATTTTGTTTGGAATAAACCTGTGCATACAGGAACTGGAACTCTAGTGGCAAGTTTGTGACTTATTCTCCTACAGTCAACAGTATCATAATTTGGAGAAAAACAACAACAAAGAGTGAAATAAATGTACATATATACATTTATATTAGATGCTGGAATCTGTGGAAAGGTGAAAAAAGATAAGAGTAGTCAAACTAAATCTGAATTATAGCTTTTATAGTAGTGCCACCTACTGTATACACTTAGAAATGCAAAAGAA